CCAGGGTTATCAACCAGAATATTCCCAACAAAGAAAATGTCAAAATGGGTCGTCCTTTTAAACTTACTCTGCATGACAAAAGAGCTCTTGTTCATCATATTATATCTGGAAAGGCCTCTACTGCTGTTCAAGCCAAAAAATACATCAATTCCATCATCACTACCACTGTCTCCACTCAAACAGTCAGGAACACCCTCAAGGAAGCCAATCTTAAAGCTGTAGTCAAGAAGAAGAAACCCCTACTGTCACCAGCCCATAGGAAAAGGAGACTAGCATTTGCTTTAAAGCACCAGCACTGGACTATAGAGGACTGGAAGAGAGTTATTTGGTCAGATGAAACTAAAATCAATAGGATGGGATCAGATGGTCAAGAGTATGTTTGGAAAAAGGCAGGAGATCCACTTGGAGAAAAAGAAGTGAAAGGTACTCTTAAGTTTGGAGGAGGATATATGATGGTGTGGGGCTGCATGGGGTGGCATGGGGTGGGAATTCTATGTGAGGTGGAGGGGAGGATGAATGCAGAGCAGTATGTCTCCATTCTGGAGGAGTGTCTGCTCAAAAGCATGCAAGAATCAGGTATTGATGAAGAAGACATTATCTTCCAACAAGATAATGACCCCAAGCATACCTCAAAGTTGGCCACCAAATGGTTTGAGGACCATGATATTACTGTCCTATCATGGCCAGCACAGTCTCCAGACCTCAATCCCATTGAACATCTTTGGGAATTACTCAAGAGAATGCTTGCTGCCTATCAAGACCCACCTAATGGACTATTTCAGTTATGGGAGAGAGTTGTAGTAGAGTGGGGAAAGATTGCTAAGGAGGAGTGTCAGAAATTGATAGAAAGTATGCCTAGGAGGGTAGCAGCAGTCATTAAAGCTAAGGGAGGAAACACTAAGTACTAGAATTATAGAGATTATGTATAATTGATTCAAACTCAAAAAAGTGTCCCAATGAGTCACCTAATTAAAATAGCCATATCTTCGCACGGCGTCAATGGATTCTCACGCTATAGGGAACATAATTGTAGCCGGGAAGCGGAGCTTTTTGGGACCTCCCTTTGACTTAGTCAGATTCTCACACCCTGGCTCGCAATAACACAATTACATGAAAACCTACAAACATTGGGACACTTTTTTGAGCCACTGTACATGCGCGCCCTGCCCAGCTACTTGAAGGAGGACCAGCGTGGAAAGATGTTGAGGCTGAGGAGGAGTTTGCCTGGCCTGAAACAGGCAGGATTCGAGTGGGCCGAAGAGCTATTGGGCATGTTCCTAGCGCTGGGATTCAGCAGGTCCAAGGTAGATCAGGCGGTGTACTATAAATGTACCTCCAACAAGCACATGCTCATCACGGTGTCCGTGGACGACATGGCCGTAACGGCGAATGACGTCGCCCACATCCAGCGCTTCAAGTCCCAGCTACAGCGACACTTCGAGATAAGTGATCTGGGAGAGCTAAAATGGCTGTTAGGACTGAAGGTGACGAGGGATAGGAGGGCACGTACCATTACGCTATCTCAAAGGGCATACATCGCGACCATCATTGAATGTTTTCGTTTGGGCGACGCCAATAATGTGCAGACTCCAATGGAGTCCATAACAACCCTGTCAGTGGAGCAAGGACCCGCGACCCACGCCGAAATCCAAGATATGCGGGACGTACTGTATCAAAGGGCCATTGGCTTGCTGATGTACACGGCTGGATATTGCGTTTGTGGTCGCGACGCTGTCCCAGTTCATGAGGAACCCCGGTAGAGCCCATTGGGAAGCTGCAAAGCGGGCCCTACGTTATTTGAAGGCAACAGATGACATGGAACTTACCTTGGGAGTCACAGACACTGGCCTGGAAGCCTTTGTCGACGCAGATTGGGCATCCCAGCCCCACCGACATTCGATGTTGGGATACGTCGTCATGTTCAATGGCACACCCATAGCCTGGAGTGCGAGGAAGCAGCCGTTAATAGCCTTATCAACGGCAGAGGCTGAATATATAGCACTTACCAGCGTGGTGTGCGAGCTCCTCATTGCCGAACTCTACGAAGCCCTGAACCTCCCAATCCCCATACACTGCAACAATCAGGCTGCCATAGCATTAGCATCCAACGGGAAGTTCCAGTCGAGAACAAAACATATTGACTTATGATACCATTTCATCCGTGGACACGTCAAGAGCGGCATCTTCAAACTGTTCTATTGCCCCACCGAGGACAATGTGGCCGATGCGTTCACCAAGGCCCTGCTGCGACCCAGACTCCAGAGATTGAGAGGGATGATGTGTTTGGATAGTGCTCGAGGGGGAGTGTTGAGAGCCGATGAACCCGAGGACGGAAAGGCCGAGAGAGGAGGAACCAAAGGAGGAAATGGGACTACAGCTGAAGAGTAAGGCAGCTCGAGGTGCGAGCGCCACCAAATGGAGATCCCAGACGATGTGTCAACGTCGGCAATCTTTTCATTTGTTTAGTATATGTTTTCATCAAAAAGACCTGCTGGCGCACTCACCATATAAAAGCAGCCAGTCGTCGTTGAAGCATCTCAGATTCGTGAACTGAATACTGAGATGTGAGTGTTCTAGTATAATGTTTGAGTACGAACACTAACGTATAACGTAGTGTACCTGTCTAGGTAAAAACACTTGTCAATAAAGAGATTCGTGAACCGAATACTGAGATCGTACCTGTCTAGTATCACCACAGTTAATGTAATTGTGATTCATCCTGCTGGAACGCTGGCCGCTTCTGCATCTGATGACAAGCAAGTCCGTCTCTGGCGCCTTTCAGATGGACACACTATCTCCATATTCCAGCACTCTGACTGGGTGTGTTGTGTCACTTTCTCCATGGACGGCGAACATATACTCAGCGGAGGTGATGATGAGAAGATATCAGAGTGGGCTAGTGCTGCCGCGGTACGGTCCAGAACCATGGTTCGAACCAGACTTTTGGTCCGGTTCTCTGCGGTTCAGTCCATGGTTCTCACACCAGCCAGAACCGGACCGGAGAATGGTTCTCGGTTCTAGGTCTTCCCCAACTGGTCCCATTCTGGTTCGGCAAGGCTGAACCATTCCGAACCGTTATCGACTTTGACTTTGACTTTGACTGTGACAACTTCGGTCTCCACATCAAATTGTTGTCTTTGGGATTCGCACTACTGGTTAATCAGGCTACCTTTAGCCTTTTTGAAGGTAAGTACTAATCAATCAAACTCTCACATGACTTGCTGTCACAATGTGCTGCTAACTCAATTTTCAACCAACTACTACTGGCAGAACAGAATCATGTGTTGTCAAGGTGCGCATCATACTCATGGAAGCATCGGCACCAGAACAAACGACCGCACAACCCATCACACGCCATGCCACCTGCGCCTATGTTGATTTATGTATGTTTGTACTATGTATATCACTGACAAGCATCTTTGCTAGCACTCAGCGTTCATTTCTGTGTGCTCGTGCACATCTATGCTTACCTCGATTTCAACCTCAAGTTGTTTTCTGGAGGACATTCCATGTGCAATGTTGACATACCTCTTGCTCAAGATGAAAATGTGAGTCACTCGTCGTCCCTCCAATTTTGTTCTATTATTCAAATACACTGCAGAGATTAATTTGATGCGCGCTCTAACTCTTTCGCTTGTGCTCACTATCTTGCGCCCGTTTTCTCATGCTTGCTCTCTCGTACCTGTCCTCTTGTGCCTGTTCTCTTGTGCTAACTCTCCCACCAATCCAAATTGTTGCCCACCATTTGCAGTTCGTGAGTGTCGATCCTTGTTCGAGCTCCAGCCATGCTGATGACCACCACACTGCATCCAACGCCACCAGCACCATGCGCAAACGCCCAACACACGCCAGCAAGTGCTGACGTGGCACAAACACTTATGGACGACACCAGGACGCCGAGTCATTGCCTGCCGTTTGCAGTGTCTTAGTGAGTCCTGTTTTACAATCTTTTTTTTTCATATTTCTAACTTAATATTTATATGTACTACCTGCGGATAAACCCTGGCCCACTATCTCTTGCCCTCCATCTCTTGCCCGCTGTCTCTCACCCCGCTGTCTCTCACCCCTCTGTCTCTCACTCAGGATGCGCATGTGTTTTCTCCCTGTTCTGAAATGATGCCATCCTCTGTCTAAGCATCCAGCGTGCAGCCTTCATCGCCAAGAACTGCACCGTCCTCACTTCCTACTTTCACGTTCCTCCCAGCACGTCAGCATCTTCAGCAGCTACAGAGGCAGAGATGGGTATGTAGTCATGTCATTGGAGTAGCTACTCAATGTGTAAACTAGTATTCCAATGTATTTTTTTTGTGCTTGCCACTGAAAATTTTCGGGTTCGGTTCGAGTTCGGACCAGAAAAAACTGAACTGGACCACAGAGAACGGTTCTCTGTGGTCCGGTTCGGGGTTCGAAGATTTTGCAGAACCGGTCCATGGTCCAGTTCTCGGTTCTCGTCCAGGACCCTCTGAACCGGACCGAACCGGACCACGGCAGCACTAGAGTGGGCAGTACCCAATGACGCTTTGTCCAAGGATGCTCCCAAATCAAAGGTATTTTCCCATTGTTATCCCGCCCGGGCCGTCCTGGTTTATCATCTCGTCTTGCCTTCTTTTTTATTTCAAGGCTCGAAGCGTCGATTTAAAGGCATGTTTTCACCATTAATTTTGATAACTAAATTCGAGCATACCTTAGATTCTCAACATCACCACGAGCGCCTGCGATGCCATTCTTATGGGGGGATTGTCTACGGCTGAAGAGATAGTCACGCAAGAGATCACGGACAACCCTAGAGACTAGTGACATCAGTAAACCAGTGAGTTCTTGCTGGGGATTATGCTGATTATGGTGCTTTTACATGGTCATATATTGCTTTATATCACTTTATATTACAATGTGACGAAAACCTTTCCTATATATTACGATATATAACGATATATGACGATATCTTCTTCTCACAGGTTCTCTGATGCGCCTACACGTCCTATGCTACTCGCTCAATCGTTATGGCACGCAAACTCAACTGGGACGATGCACTTCAAGATGCAAATAAAGTAAGTCATACGACATGCACTTCACGTGGACTAACATCGATCCTGGCATAGTCACTACGCATAGATCCATCGTTAACAGGCTATGTTGCGAAGGGCATTGCCCTATGTAGGAAAAGGCAGTTCCGGGACGCCACGAAAGTTTTTGACCTTGCATTTACATCGACTGATGGCAATTCGACAACCCATTTACTTTTCTTGATCAAGGCATGTTTCTCTTTTATTGCACACTCCGCGCTAGTCACAGGCTATCGCACTATTTAATGCAAATAAACATGATGAGGCAATGCTGCGCGTCCAAGAACTAGTCACTGATTTTCCCGATACCGATCTTCTTGCTTGCCGTGTCGTTGAAGTGAGTATGGAGTACAATTTTGCGTGCTGACACTGATGGTTCCACGCGTCCCGAATCAGACGTATTTACACGTCCAACTAGGCACCATTGCTTTGAGTAGCTGGTGTCACAAGGGCCAAGCTGTCAACCATTTCACTTCCGCTGTCAGTGCTAGCGCCCTCTTTTCTAAATCGTCAATTCATCGTATGTATGGGGATTTTACCGTGGTACGTCGGTGTCATACAGCCATCAATGTTTTTTCGTGCTCAATTGCATTTTTTTCTGGGATTTTGGCAGCTCTTCGGGTGGGACCTTGAGTCATTGTGGCTCACCGCCCGCAAGCAACTATGCTACGCACTAATTCGGGTGGGTAGATTCGGAGAAGCATACACAGCGTTCGAATCCATGATGGACGCATGTGATGAAGCTATAAGACCCAGCTTACGTGTGTGGTTCGCCGGTAAGTCGTCGGTAGTGTTACATGCTGCGATTTTTAACTACTTTTTTCTCAGCTTTCTAAAAAGACTGAAGCATACTACGTCTTGCCCGTGGAGATACAGCCCTCTCCGCGAGCAGTCACTCTTGCGTTTTGAAATGCAAAGATATCTTGTACGGTTACTCGACATTACGTTTATCGTATGACAGGTCATGGCTTGAAATCAGACTAAATGTTCTATGTACAACACTCACACGCCTCTAGTCCTTCCCTCCTACCACCTACCACCTACTATGAATTGCATTTATGCCATATGATAATCCTTTCGTTCGACACGTAGTACTCTTCCATTCCTTCGCGGTATGATTGGGCAATCCACTCGGAATGGAGATAAACGCCATTGCAAAATTACAGTCGGAATTGAGCAACTGAAACCCTGTGTCATGTTGTCAATACTGACTTGCTGCTATAAACACAATTGATTGGACAAAAGATGTCCGAAAGCCTGTCCTTGCGTAAGTGATAGTGGGTACGAGGAACTACGTGTTCTTGAATGTGCATGCTTAGCCTCCATGATCGTCGTATTGCACCATTCTATTCATTACAAAATCATAAGTGGTACCCAAGACCGCTTCTCGCCTACGACTGTTGATTCTACAAAGCGATCTGTAAGAGAGGCACGCTACCTCAACTATAAGTACGCCTACGACTCTCATGCTCTAGCATAGGCCCCTCAAGTAACAACTGAAAAGCCGATTCATCAGTGAGTTTGCGGTACCCTTTTGAAAGGTAAATCGAGTGGATCCCCTCAAAGCACTTCTCTACAACTTCCCAGGACACTGCGTGCGATCCGGAAGGACACATGGTAGAAAGCTCCGATGATCTAAAATCATTCTTTTCCTTCCTGCATCGAATAGCATCCAATTTCAACCATTCTTCTAGTGGTCTGTTCTTACTGAGGAGTTCGCCATCTTTATACCGAAGACAGACCCAGGTGAGGACCCAGATCAACGATTCAGCATCGTGCGCATACAGATGCTCGACCTTGCCTGCCATGGCGCCTGGCGAGAGAAGGTCTATCGCCATGAATGGTACCGTTCCGGTGCGTTCGAGGCCCCTGGGACCATCACGGTTAAACGACGATAAGTCGTAGTCATTGAGAACAGCTATAAATTGACCGCGCAAGTGGTACCCCATTAGATTGCTAGGGCTGACATCCCGATGAAGCACGCCTTCTTTCCAGAGGGCGCAATGGCCTATCGAGTAGTGGATGAATGATGAAGAGCAGGAGACGGGGGAAAAAAAAGCTTACACTTCACAACTTGCCACCACGCGGCAAGGAACTCCTCGCTAGAAAGTGCTGTGATTGGGATAAGCTTTCTGAATACCATGACGTACAGGACGCGGCTGCCCTGTTTGGCCCGTTCAGCGTCCTTCAGTCCTAGTGCGACTCGGATTTTGGACGTGGATGTTTCTTCAAACTTGTGGAACCAGACCAGCTCTGGGATGTGGCCTCGCACATCCGGATCTGTCTGTGCAGTCTTGTAGACCTCCTTGAGGATGTCTGGCTCGCTCTGACGCGTCTCTTCTGGCCAATAGAGCTTGGCCACCAGTTCAGAAGATTTGTTGGGAAAACGGGGATCCCGCTGCAGACCTGAAAGTGCCTCGCTCTTCACTGAAAACACAGTAGTTGCACGTCCGCGTATACCGAAATGAATCACGCGCTCCTTAGACTTTACATCCAACTCTAGGTCGATTTGGGCATCCTCGACCATCACCTTGCCCGAAAATCCAGGCTCATGCTCAAACACGCGATCAAGGCCCCACTGTTCGTATCCCATCCGCTGCATGATGAGAAGTAAGACAGACCAACGTGGGAGGTCCCGAACGACGTCGAGTAGCTTTAATTTCTCGCTGACAGAAAGGTATTGAGAAGAACCTGTGCATCTTGCGAGGAGTTCTTGCAGCATCGTATCTGCCTCACACTTCTCAGAGTTTTGGACATCCCTCGCGATCCATGGGCGGACATTACTGACTCTGCAAAATTCACTGATATGGGTGATCGTGGCAAGAACAAGAGGAAGAATTGACGCACTCAACGCCAACAGTACTGATATGTTTGCTGACAACAGCGGACCCGACTGACAGTGGGGTGGACTTGAGCCCAGCCTCCGAATCGGCAGACAAGGTAGAGTTACGGGAAGGCGTCTTGTGTACGGTGGGGTCAACATTGTCGGCCATGATGCAGGCTAAGGATGCTGAGATAGAAACGAAAGTGAGTTGAGAATCAGAACACACAAACCTGTGCTAGCTTTTAAACTAGCAAAACACCATTGTTAGATTTTTCAAGTCAAGGTCCACAATTGATAATCGATAAGTAATTGAATGAAGTTGATGGCAGTGAGCCAGACTCACAGGAATTCAGTAAACGATGACAATTATGTAATCACCTTCGAGTCCGCCAGTTGAGTTCAATCTTCTTACAATCCAAATCATGTATCCCTAAATTTCTTACTTGACCCATCTTGTTTTCTTTGGCATGTATCCAACACGTACCGGTTGCAATCTCAATAAACAAGGTTTTCTATAGGTATAAAGTTTTACCTTGCACAGAGGCGAAAGGCTCGCATGGGATTCTCAGGCTGGCACTCCGCAAAGGAGTGGCTTGTGGGCGCGCTGAAGAACCATAGGATGTACAGCTGTCACCTTCACGGCGGCCCTTTACCTCCATTTTGATTTACAAATTTCAACCTTCGGATATCAAGTCACTTTCATTGGTCCCCCTGATCACCCGAGTAATCAAGGAATCTGATGGTCTTTCTCAATGTTCTTTTCAGATATCTCTCTCTGCATCCGAACAAATGGAGTCACTGCGCGATCTTTTCTATAACAGAGTATGAGACGAAGACCCAGGGAGCATCGGGAGCATCGAAATCTCTCATCCTCGAATTATGCTGTGGTTATTGCCTTTGGCACCTATCGGGTACGATTTCCTTCAATAAACATTTTCATTACTCCGTCTTGACATTCCGTGCGTCGCACAAGAAAATTTTGTAGAAGAATTTCACTGATCGGCAGCCATTTCTGATTTTACAAATATCACACTTCCACTTCGTAGAACACTTCTGATCATTCCTTGAACACACGAATAACCAAGGAACCTGACTCATGATGTCTTATCAGAAGTCACTGTCTGCATTCCACAGCCGGGCTGTGCGATCTTTCTTGTATGGAGTAAAATTGAGAGAAGAGGACCCGGCTGCTCCTTCAATGAGCCTTAGAATCACTTCCCTGTAGTCCTCAAGGTTACACATCGGAGCTCAGGGGACGAATGTCGTGTCAAACGGTAGCGCGCTGAGACTTGTGACTTGTCAATCACCACACAAGACTCGGAGGCGCTGATCCACTTCTGCAGGCGAGGCCCACTCGAAAGACGTTCTTGCTTGTCCACCCATAGGATCCGAGTCATCGTCTCCTCGACCAAGGAGAGCTCGGGAGAACGGTCAAATCTTATATCTCCTGAAGTGTTAGGCGGATCTCTACCCATAATCATCTCTTTATAAGTGGTGATGTACTCTACGTGTTTGCGGGTGCCTTCATTATCCTTCATGATTGCCCCACCATTTTTGTGTTCGCCACCGTTGTGCTCCATATTCATACATGTTCGCTGCATATCTCGCTTCCGACATGGTACAACGTGTCGGTTGAAAATTTTTTGGTGTGCTTCGTCCCCCGTCGTTGAATCATTCTTCGCATTATGACCAAGCTTCTTCTTTAACCCCTCTCGCTCTGCCCATCGCACGACTTTCAGTAGCTCGCAAATATCTGAACATATCTACAATGTACCCTGCTTCAGCTTCGCGCCGGCCTTATACAAATCAATCTCATCTAAGCACAACCACACAACTGGGCGTAGCTATTTTGACGCGGTCCTGCCGCGCCTGCCGCGGTCGTGACGCGGCACTGACGCGGCACTGACGAGCCTTGACGCGGCACTAACGATCCTTGACGCGACCACTGACGCGCCATTCCTATATTCTATATTCAACTTCCAGATCAAGTTGGATGAGTTCACGACCACTCTTTTGTTATTTTATTTGCCTCAGAGCCATGTACAACTAGGTATACATAAGCCAATGACTATTTTCTTTTCCTCCCTCTCTGGACCCTTCGAGCCTGTGGAGCACATCGACGTTTAACGGGCGGACATTCTTCGGCCGGCAGACAAGGAACTACAGCTTCGGATAGCTCGTCTGCAGACTCCAAAGATGTAGCATCAGAGTTATCACTGAATAAGGGGCCGCGCTGTCAATCACATAAGTTAGATATCTATCGAACGGAGCAGGTAATGTCTTCCTCACTTCAAGTTCACTCTCGCTATAATCTCTTGCAGAAACCCATTCATCAGGAATTCCGAGATACAATTTCCATCGCCTGTGATGTTGGCCAGCATCCAAACCCCACTGCTGGTTGCCTGCAGGTCCTGCTTCTTCGGAATCCTCGAACATCCTTCCTTCTAGTGCGGTCAGACACTCGAGGTCGACATCAGCCACGAAGCTATTGGTAGGATAGCTTATCATGAGATCAGCCCAAGCCATCTTCAACAGCATGCTATCGTTCCATTCTTCGTTTCGAGCTTCGATGCGTTTTTCAAAATCACTGGCCTTTCGGTGAGCAACCACGAGAGTGAAAGCATGCACCAAAGGCAGTTCTATTTGTCAAATCTGAGTTCACAAGGAGAATATGTCGGATGACGCACCTGAACGGTCATAGCAGGGTATGAGGTCCCCAAAACTCAGCAGCGGACCCGGCCGATCTGGATAATTTGATTCTCTGTCTCGTTGGGGTAGAAAAAGTTGAATATATGTTTGATTCATTGCTAAAAGATGGTTATAACAAGTTTACTCCGTATTTTAAAGAACTCACAAAGGCCATGATACGATTTACAAAAGCGCGATAATAACGGTTGTTTCTCGAGCCCAGAGGAGACAACGAAAGAATGCTTAGTAAAATAAATTTATTACTGCCTATGGACAATTACAGTGTACGACGTTTAATTCTGTCAGGATGAAAAGGAACACTGTTAGAATATCAATTATTATGACAGATGTAAAGTAAAATGTACCTAAGTTATACGGACAGTGTGACAGTTGAGGTGGTGAGGTTTGACGCGGCATGTGCTACTTGTGACGCGGCATGAATGAAGTTTGACGCGGCAGTGACGCGGCAGTGACGCGGCGTGACGCGGGTGACGAGGTTTGACGCGGCACTGACGCGGCATGGAGGAGGTTTGACGCGGCAACTGACGCGGCACAACTTGTTTGACGCGGCACTGACGCGCATGTGACGCGGCACTGACGCGGTATGTGCTATGGTTGACGCGGCACTGTAGTAGGTCTCGACGCGGCATAGAGTGTGGATGTTGATATTAGTACAGAGACTGCGAAGATATTTGGGAGAACTTGTCGTGGTGTGAGTAGTGCTTGACGCAGCCTAAACGAGGCACCTACCACCTACTATGAGACGTATTTACACGTCCAACTAGGCACCATTGCTTTGAGTAGCTGGTGTCACAAGGGCCAAGCTGTCAACCATTTCACTTCCGCTGTCAGTGCTAGCGCCCTCTTTTCTAAATCGTCAATTCATCGTATGTATGGGGATTTTACCGTGGTACGTCGGTGTCATACAGCCATCAATGTTTTTTCGTGCTCAATTGCATTTTTTTCTGGGATTTTGGCAGCTCTTCGGGTGGGACCTTGAGTCATTGTGGCTCACCGCCCGCAAGCAACTATGCTACGCACTAATTCGGGTGGGTAGATTCGGAGAAGCATACACGGCGTTTGAATCCATGATGGACGCATGTGATGAAGCTATAAGACCCAGCTTACGTGTGTGGTTCGCCGGTAAGTCGTCGGTAATATGCCATTACATGCTGCGATCCTTAACTACTTTTTCTCAGCTTTCTAGAAAGATTGAACCATACTACGTCTTGCCCGTGGAGATACAACCCTCTCCGCGAGCAGTCACTCTTGCGTTTTGGAATGCAAAGATATTTTGCACGGTTACTCGACATTACATTTACCGCATGACAGGCCATAGCTTGAAATCAAACCAAATGTTCTATGTACAACACTCACACGCCTCTAGTCCTTCCCTCCTACCACATACTATGAATTGCATTTATGCCATATGGTAATCCTTTCGTTCGACACAGTACTCTTCTTCCATTTCTTCGCGGTATGATTGGGCAATCCACTCAGGTTGGAGATATACGCCATACTCATGTTCAATGTCCACGTCAATACTTACTTGCTATTAGTGTAAACACAATTAATTGGACAAAAGATGAGACAGCCAGTCCTTGCATAAGTGTGTATGAGGAACTACGTGTTCTCGAATGTGCGCTCTGGATCTGAGCCTCCATGATTGTCGTATTACACCATTCTATACATTACAAAGTCATAGTGGTACCCAAGACCGACTGTTTATTCTACAAAGCAATTTGTAAGGGAGGCACGCTGCCTCAACTCTAAGTACGCTTATGACTGTCATGCTCTAGCATAGGCCCCTCAAGCAACAACTGAAAAGCCAATTCATCGGTCAGTTTGCGGTACTCGAATGGAGTATAAAGTGACTGGACCGCCCAAAGGCAGTTCTTTACAAGATCCCAGGACTCTGCGTGCGATGTGGATGGACACACGTTTCTGATCTCTATTGACCAAAACTGGGCCTTTCTTGCTTGGCATAGAGAAGCATCCACTTTCAGCCATTCTTCCAATGGTCTGTTCTTGCTGAGGAGGTTTCCACCTTCATACCGAAGACAGACCCAGGTGAGGACCCAGATCAACGATTCAGCATCATGCGCATACACATGCTCGACCTTGCCTGCCATGGCGTCTGGCGTGAGAAGGTCTGCCGCCATGAATGGTAGCGTTCCCGTGCGCTCGAGGCCCCTGGGACCATCACGTTTAAACGACGATAAGTCGTAGTCGTTGAGAACGCCTATGAATTGACCGCGTAAGCGGTACACCATGAGATTGCTAGGGCTGACGTCCCGATGAAGAACGCCTCTCTTCCAGAGGGCGCGATGGCCTATCGAGTCGTGGATGAATGATGAAGAGCAGGAGAAGGGAAAAAACTTACACTTCACAACTTGCCACCATGCGGCAATGAACTCCTCGCCAGAAAGCGTCGTAATTGGGATAAGCTTTCTGAATACGATGATGTACAGGACGCGGCTGCCCTGTTCGGCCCGTTCAGCGTCCTTCAGTCCTAATGCGACTCGGATTTTGGACGTGGATGTTTCTTCAAACTTGTGGAACCAGACCAGCTCTGGGACGTGGCCTCGCACATCCAGATCTGTCTGTGCAATCTTGTAGACCTCCTTGAGGATGTCTGGCTCGCTCTGACGCGTCTCTTCTGGCCAATAGAGCTTGGCCACCAGTTCAGGGGATTCGTTCAGAAAACAGGCGTCCCGCTGCCGATCTGATAGTGCCTCGCTCTTTACCGGAAACACAGTAGTTGCACGTCCGCGTATACCGAAATGAGTCACGCGCTCCTTAGACTTCACATCCAACTCAAGGTCAATCTGGGCATCCTCAACCATCACCTTGCCCGAAAATCCGGGCTCAGGCTCAAACACGCGGTTGAGGCCCCACTGCTCGTATCCCATCCGCTGCATGATCAGAAGTAAGACCAACCAGCGTGGAAGGTCCTGAACGAAGTTGATGGCAGCGCCTTGAATCGTGGTTTCGCGATCACAGAACCAGATGTAAATATAATCGTCTGGAAGGAGTTGTCAGTTTGGCGCCAGGTTAACAGCATCCCATCAACTTACTGTTCACTATAAAGGAGATGACGTGTTGCCGCGCGATGTGAGCCGCGAACATCTCTGCAACGTAGAGGCCGTTCTGGACGATAGGAGGGGGTTTTGCCGGGTCGTCCTCTTCAGTCCGATCTTCATTGTTGCCGCCTCGCTTGCGCTTGACTCCTCTGCTCAATTGCGACGAGGGTCTTACTACCTCACACATGTCAGTCAGAAAGCACAAAACGGACAAAATACAGCTTACACTCATTCGATGCTTCGTGGGGGGTCTGAGCAGACCCAGTAGCAGGCGTTGAACCTGTTGGCTTAGCAGGGCCGCTCGTGTCCTTCCTACATTCCATGTACTGCGCAGAAGGAGAAGGAACGATGTAATCGGTCTTATAAACGGACGGCGGATGGGTCAAAAACTTCCGGGGGCGTTTTAACTCCAATGTCGATCGAACATCGGTCCATTGAAAGTTGTCTTTGGGCGATTTGCACGCCGTCTCGGTAAGAACCTGGGTTTCTTGCGTTTCGTGTGCTTTCGTACCCAGGGCAGTTTGATGAGAGACCACAACAACGTCAGGCTTGCGTTCGGACTGTTTGTCCTGGTGGTCCTGGTATATGGGCATTGTATCACTGACATGGAGTAGAACGTTGGTCTTCTCGTCGACCTTGAACGCAGGTATTCCTTGTACATTCACCTTGCTTAGTTCACGGAGCGCACAGTTGGCGGCTTTGACAAAAGGAGCATATGTCAATGGTTCGAGGTTGGTATCACAACTTGACAATGGCGTCAGTTTTCTTTCGCACTGCTCGAGATACTGACATACAAATTAGTCAGGTGTCCCTTTATCTCCTGCGCTACAGCCCCCGCATTGCAGATAGGCAGAACAGCATTGAGGGCAGTTTCGAGTAGCTTCGATTTCTCGTTGACAGAAAGGTTTTGAGAGCGACCTGTGCATCTTGCAAGGAGTTCTTGCAGCATCGCATCTGCCTCACACTTCTCAAAGTTTTGGACGTCCCTCGCGATCCATGGGCTGACATTTTTGACTCTGCGAAGTTCACTGATGAGTGATGGTGGCGAGAACAAAATGAGAGCTGACGCACTTAAGGCCAACAGTACTGATGTGTTCGCTGACAATAGCGGAACCGACTGCGAGTGGGGTGGACTTGAGCCCAGTCTCCGAATCGGCAGACAAGGCAGAGTTACGGGGAGGTGTCTTGTCACGTACGGTGGCGTCAGCATTGTCGGCCATGATGATGAGGCCTAAGGAGGCTCAGATAGAAAAGAAAGTGGGTTGAAAATCTGGATACGCAAACCTGAGCGAGCTTTTAAACTAGCAAAACACCATTGTTAGATATTTCAAGTCAAGGTCCACAATTGATAATCGATAAGTAGTTGAACGAAGTTGATGGCAGTTCTGAGCCAGACTCACGGTTCAGTAAACGATAAATTGACCGAGTTCGTGACAACGATGATTATATAATCACCTTCGACATGAGTCCGCCGGTTGAGTTCAAATCTAGATCATCATGTATCCCTAGATTCCTACCTTGATCTCTTGTTTTCTTTGGCATGTATCCAACACGTACCGGTTGCAATCCAAATAAAGAAGGTTTGTTATGCTATAAAGTTTTACCGCGTACAGAGGCACGTGCGATCATTCTCACTGGGCTGGTGGCTTGTGGGCGCAGCGTTGAAGAACCATAGGCTGTACAGCTGTCACCTTCACGGCGGCCCTTTACCTCCGTTTTGATTTACAAATTTCAGACCTTCGGACGACAAGTCCTTTCCAATAGTCCCCCTGAACACCCGAGTAATCAAGGAATCGGTCTTTCTCAATGTTCTTTTCAGGTATCTCTCTCTGCATCCGAATAACTAGACTGCGCGATCTTTTCTACAACGGAAGTGTGAGACGAGGACCCAGGGAGCATCGAATAGACGTACTTAATGACTCTCGCTACGGCGTACTCGACCAAATCAACACATTTCCATGATGCCATGCCCATCGTCGACAGCGAGGAATTGGACTTTTGAACTACATCGGTAGATAGTTCGAAGACAAACGAGGTGGGGACTCATGTCTGCGGTAGTGCCCGTGGCCCCACACTCACCTGACTCACCTATCAGATGCTTATTAAAGTGGCTTGTGGTGGACGCAACCGCTAGCCATATATAATGACAGTCACGTCTGAATGCGATAGAAGTCGTAAGAGTGAAGGACCTAGATGGAGATGTTCAGTCGAGTCACTTTAGTATAGGACAAAATAACTTCAATTGGCGTACTTGTTGTTCAAGAATTATAAATATGACTATAACATGTGGGAAGAAGGCGTCCTGCCTCGGGACGTGCCACTAGTGGAGATTGAAAGACTGCTATTGTGCATTTGAGCTGGCAAGGGCTTGAACGTTCGTATTAATTTGGTGTCTCGACGGTTGAAGCTAAGGACTGAGTCTGTTCGATAGCTTTGTTGTTGATGCATGGTATTCAGGAGAGTTCGTCAATTCATCAGCGGCAACACGAAGGCGCTTATCATCACAGCTTTATATGTATTGAGAGTTCTGATGGGGCTGATGCTGTGAAGCAGTATAAAGACGCTCGGTGGACGCACCTCCAGGACTTAGATCGAGACCGCTGCAATCTCTCTACCAAGTCAATCTTGACCGTACTCTGCCATAATCCTTCACCAAAATGCATTGGTTCAATCCCAGCACCACACCCATTCGGGCATTTGAAGATCACTATCAAGCGGTGCTCGCAGTCGCAGTGCTCCCTGATAGACAGCGTATGGTCACTGCCTCGTCGGACTCCTGGCTTCGTATGTGGGACTTGAGGTCAGGCACATTGCTAAAGATGATGGCAGGGCATAAGAGTGAGGTGTGGGCATTAGCGGTGTCGCGAGACGGGCAATTGATAGCAAATGGTGATGAGAAGGGAGAAGTCATCGCCTGGCACGGAGCAACTGGAGAATTTCTCATCAAAGCTATCAAAAGCCAGTTCGGGATGATATCCATGGACTTTTCTCCCTGTGGTGCAGTGCTAGCCACCGTTTCAATGGACCAAAAAGCAAAAGTTGTGGGATATGAAATCCTGGCAGTTACAAGGAAGATTGATCACGTGTTACGATCGTGTCTTCTGCGTTCGCTACTCGCCTTCTGGCGAACGCCTTGCTATTGCGACAGCCAGCATCATAGAAATTTATCATCCGGGGACCAGGCACCGTGTCGCAAACTTCAGTAGTCACGGCTCATACAACTGTTCGCTCACCTGGACACCCGATGGCACAGGTCTTCTTTCATCAGGCAATTATGAGGATCCTACCATACGAGAGTGGGATGCATCCACCTGGGAGCAGGTCGGTGATGCCTGGGTGGGACACACTAATGATGTTAATGTAATTGCGATTCATCCTGCTGGAACGCTGGTCGCATCTGCATCTGATGACAAGCAAGTCCGTCTCTGGCGCCTTTCAGATGGACACACTATCTCCATATTCCAGCACTCTGACCGGGTGTGTTGTGTCACTTTCTCCGTGGACGGCGAACATATACTCAGCGGAGGTGACGATGAGAAGATATCAGAGTGGGCAGTACCCAATGACGCTTTGTCCAAGGATGCTCCCAAATCAAAGGTATTTTCCCATTGTTATCCCGCCCGGGCCGTCCTGGTTTATCATCTCGTCTTGCCTTTTTTTTTATTTCAAGGCTCGAAACGTCGATTTAAAGGCATGTTTTCACCATTAATTTTGATAACTAAATTCGAGCATACCTTAGATTCTCACCATTACCACGAGCGCCTGCGATGGCATTCTTATGGGGGGATTGTCTACGGCTGAAGAGATAGTCACGCAAGAGATCACGGACAACCCTAGAGACTACACGTCCTATGCTACTCGCTCAATCGTTATGGCACGCAAACTCAACTGGGACGATGCACTTCAAGATGCAAATAAAGTAAGTCATACGACATGCACTTCACGTGGACTAACATCGATCCTGGCATAGTCACTACGCATAGATCCATCGTTAACAGGCTATGTTGCGAAGGGCATTGCCCTATGTAGGAAAAGACAGTTCCGGGACGCCACGAAAGTTTTTGACCTTGCATTTACATCGACTGATGGCAATTCGACAACCCATTTACTTTTCTTGATCAAGGCATGTTTCTCTTTTATTGCACACTCCGCGCTAGTCACAGGCTATCGCACTATTTAATGCAAATAAACATGATGAGGCAATGCTGCGCGTCCAAGAACTAGTCACTGATTTTCCCGATACCGATCTTCTTGCTTGCCGTGTCGTTGAAGTGAGTATGGAGTACAATTTTGCGTGCTGACACTGATGGTTCCACGCGTCCCGAATCAGACGTATTTACACGTCCAACTAGGCACCATTGCTTTGAGTAGCTGGTGTCACAAGGGCCAAGCTGTCAACCATTTCACTTCCGCTGTCAGTGCTAGCGCCCTCTTTTCTAAATCGTCAATTCATCGTATGTATGGGGATTTTACCGTGGTACGTCGGTGTCATACAGCCATCAATGTTTTTTCGTGCTCAATTGCATTTTTTTCTGGGATTTTGGCAGCTCTTCGGGTGGGACCTTGAGTCATTGTGGCTCACCGCCCGCAAGCAACTATGCTACGCACTAATTCGGGTGGGTAGATTCGGAGAAGCATACACGGCGTTTGAATCCATGATGGACGCATGTGATGAAGCTATAAGACCCAGCTTACGTGTGTGGTTCGCTGGTAAGTCGTCGGTAATGTCACATTCTGCGATCCTTGACTATTTTTTTCTCAGCTTTCTAGAAAGACTGAAGCATACTACGTCTTGCCCGTGGAGATACAGCCCTCTCCGTGAGCAGTCACTCTTGCGTTTTGAAATGCAAAGATATTTTGTACGGTTACTCGACATTACATTTACCGCATGACAGGTCATAGCTTAAAATCAGACGAAATGTTCTATGTACAACACTCACACGCCCCTAGTCCTTCCCTCCTACCACATACTATGAATTGCATTTATGCCATATGGTAATCCTTTCATTCGACACGTAGTACTCTTCTTCTATTTCTTCGCGGTATGATTGGGCAATCCACTCACGTTGGAGATATACGCCATACTCATGTTCAATGCCCATGTCAATACTTGCTGCTGTAAACACAATTGATTGGACAAATGATGAGACAGCCAGTCCTTGCATAAGTGTGTATGAGGAACTACGTGTTCTCGAATGTGCGCTCTGAGCCTTCATGATTGCCGTATTACACCATTCTATACATTACAAAGTTATAGTGGTACCCAAGACCGACTGTTTATTCTACAAAGTGATTTCTAAGGGAGGCACGCTACCTCGACTAGTACGCCTATGATTGATATGCTCCAGCATAGGTCCCCCAAGTAACAACTCAAAAGCCTCTTGGTCGTCCAGTTTGCGGTACTCTTCTGGAGGATAAAGCGAGTAGATTCCCCGAAAGCACTTCCTTACAAGGTTCCATGACACTTCGTGCGATCCGGATGGACGCACATCTCTGATCCCCCCTGACCAAAACTGGGCCTTTCTTGCTTGGCATAGAGAAGCATCCACTTTCAGCCATTCTTCCAATGGTCTGTTCTTGCTGAGGAGGTTTCCACCTTCGTACCGAAGACAGACCCAGGTGAGGACCCAGATCAACGATTCAGCATCATGCGCATACACATGCTCGACCTTGCCTGCGACGCCGTCTGGCGTGAGAAGGTCTGCCGCCATGAATGGTACCGTTCCTGTACGCTCGAGGCCCCTGGGACCATCACGGTTAAACGACGATAAGTCGTAGTCGTTGAGAACGCCTATGAATTGACCGCGTAAACGGTACACCATGAGATTGCTAGGGCTGACGTCCCGATGAAGCACGCCTCCCTTCCAGAGGGCGCGATGACCTGGCGAGTGGTGGATGAATGATGAAGAGCAGAAGAAGGGAAAAAACTTACACTTCACAACTTGCCACCACGCGGCAATGAACTCCTCGCCAGAAAGCGTCGTAATTGGGATAAGCTTTCTGAATACGATGATGTACAGGACGCGGCTGCCCTGTTCGGCCCGTTCAGCGTCCTTCAGTCCTAGTGCGACTCGGATTTTGGACGTGGATGTTTCTTCAAACTTGTGGAACCAGACCAGCTCTGGGACGTGGCCTCGCACATCCGGATCTGTCTGTGCAATCTTGTAGACCTCCTTGAGGATGTCTGGCTCGCTCTGACGCGTCTCTTCTGGCCAATAGAGCTTGGCCACCAGTTCAGGGGATTCGTTCAGAAAACAGGCGTCCCGCTGCAGACCTGAAAGTGCCTCGCTCTTTACTGGAAACACAGTAGTTGCACGTCCGCGTATACCAAAATGAGTGACGCGCTCCTTAGACTTTACATCCAACTCTAGGTCGATTCGGGCATCCTCAATCATTACCTTGCCCGAAAATCCGGGCTCAGGCTCAAACACGCGGTTGAGGCCCCACTGCTCGTATCCCATCCGCTGCATGATCAGAAGCAAGACCAACCAGCGTGGAAGGTCCTGAACGAAGTTGATGGCAGCGCCTTGAATCGTGGTTTCGCGATCACAGAACCAGATGTAAATATAATCGTCTGGAAGGAGTTGTCAGTTTGGCGCCAGGTTAACAGCATCCCATCAACTTACTGTTCACTATGAAGGAGATGACGTGTTGCCGCGCGATGTGAGCCGCGAACATCTCTGCAACGTAGAGGCCGTTCTGGACAACAGGATGGGGTTTTCTCGGCTCCTTCTCTTTAGTCCGATCTTCATCTCGCTTGCGCTTGACTCCTCTGCTCAATTGCGACGAGGGTCTTACTACCTCGCACATGTCAGTAAGGAAGCACAAAACAGACAAACTACAGCTTACACTCATTCGATGCTTCGTGGGGGGTCTGAGCAGACCCAGTAGCAGGCGTTGAACCTGTTGGCTTAGCAGGGCTGTTCGCGTCCTTCCTATATTCCATGTACTGCGCAGAAGGAGAAGGAACGACATAATCTGTCTTATAAACGGACGGTGGATGGGTCAGAGACTTCCGGGTGCGTTTGAACTCCAATGTCGATCGAACATCGGTCCATTGAAAGTTGTCTTTGGGCGATTTGCACGCCGTCTCGGTAAGAACCTGGGTTTCTTGCGTTTCGTGTGCTTTCGTACCCAGGGCAGTTTGATGAGAGACCACGACAACGTCAGGCTTGCGTTCGGACTGTTTGTCCTGGTGGTCCTGGTATATGGGCATTGGATCATTGACATGAAGTAGAATGTTGGTCTTCTCGTCGACCTTGAACGCAGGTATCCCATCTACATTCACCTTGCTTAGTTCACGGAGCGCACAGTTGGCGGCTTTGACGAAAGGAGCATATGTCAATGGTTCGAGGTTGGTATCACAACTTGACAATGGCGTCAGTTTTCTTTCGCACTGCTCGAGATACTGACATACAAATTAGTCAGGTGTCCCTTTATCTCCTGCGCTACAGCCCCCGCATTGCAGATAGGCAGAACAGCATTGAGAGCAGTTTCGAGTAGCTTCGATTTCTCATTGACAGAAAGGTTTTGAGAGCGACCTGTGCATCTTGCAAGGAGTTCTTGCAGCATCGTATCTGCCTTACACTTCTCAAAGTTTTGGACGTCCCTCGCGATCCATGGGCGGACATCATTGACTCTGCGAAATTCACTGATATGGGTGATCGTGGCGAGAACAAAAGGAAGAATTGACGCACTCAACGCCAACAGTACTGATATGTTCGCTGACAGCAGCGGAACCGACTGCGAGTGGTGTGGACTTGAGCCCAGTCTCCAAATCGGCAGACAAGGTAGAGTTACGGGGAGGTGTCTTGTCACGGACGGTGGCGTCAGCACTGTCGGCCATGATGATGAGGTCCTAAGGAGGCTCAGATAGAAAAGAAAGTGGGTTGAGAATCAGAATACGCAAACCTGAGCTAGCTTTTAAACTAGCAAAACACCATTGTTAGATATTTCAAGTCAAGGTCCACAATTGATAATCGATAAGTAGTTGAACGAAATTGATGGCAGAGCCAGACTCACGGCCGGTTTAGTAAACGATAAATTGACCGAGTTCATGACAACGACAATTATGTAATCACCTTCAACATGAGTCCGCAGGTTGAGTTCAAATCCAAATCATCATGTATCCCTAGATTCCTACTTGATCTCTCTTGTTTTCTTTGGCATGTATCCAACACGTACCGGTTGCAATCCAAATAAAGAAGGTTTGTTATGGTATAAAGTTTTACCGCGTACAGAGGCGCATGTGATCATTCTCACTGGGCTGGCACTCCATCAGGGCTTGTGGGCGCGTTGAAGAACCATAGGCTGTACAGCTGTCACCTTCACGGCGGCCCTTTACCTCCGTTTTGATTTACAAATTTCAAACCTTCGGACGACAAGTCACTTTCAGTAGTCCCCCTGAACACCCGAGTAATCAAGGAATCTGATGGTCTTTCTGATGTTCTTATATATCTCTCTGCATCCGAACAACTGGAGCGATCTTTTCTATAACAGAAGTGTGAGACGAGGACACAGGGAGCATCGAAATCACTCATCCTAGAATGATGCTGTGGTTGTTGCCTTTGGCATCTATTGGGTGCGATGTAAATGAACATTTTATTGGTCCATCTTGACGTTCACGCGTCCCGCGCGTCGCACAAGAAAATTTTGCAGAAGAATTTCACTGATCGACAGCCTTTGCCTTTGCCTCCGTTTCTGATTTACAGATTTCAAACTTCCATTTCGCCGAACACTTCTGTTCATTCTTAAGCTTGAACACACGAATAACCGAGGGATCTGATTCAGGACGTCTTATCAGAAGTCACTGTCCGCATTCCACAGCCGGGCTGTGCGATCTTTCTTGTATGGAGTAAAAGTGGGAGAAGAGGACCCAGCTGCTCCATCAGCGAGCCTTAGAATCACTTTCCTGTAGTCCTCAAGGTTACACATCGGAGCTCAGGGGATGAATGTCACGTCAAACGGTAGTGCGCTGAGACTCGCGACTTGTCGATCACCACTCAAGAGGCGCTGATCCATCTTCTGCAGGCAAGGTCCACCCACTCGGCAGATGTTGTTGCTTGTCCATCCATAGGATCCGAGTCATCGTCTCCTCGACCAAGGAGAGCTCGGGAGAACGGTCAAATCTTGCGTCTCCTGAACTGTTAGGCGGATCTCTACCCATATTTATCTCTTTATAAGTTGGTGATGTGCTCTACGTGTCTGCGGGTGCCTTCATTATCCTTCATGATTACCCCATCATTTTGCTGTTCGCCACCGTTGTGCTCCTTATTCATGCATGTTCGCTGCATATCTCGCTTCCGACATGGTACAACGTGTCGGTTGAAAATTGTTTGGTGTGCTTCGTCCCCTGTCGTTGAATCATTCTTCGCATTATGATCAAGTTTCTTCTTTAACCCCTCTCGCTCTGCCCATCGCACGACTTTCAGTAGGTATCTGAATATATCTACAACGTACGCTGCTTCAGCTTCGCACCGAACACTGGGCATCGCATTTTTTTCGGTTTCATACATCATGATAGTGAGATATAGGTGTGCGATTCCTGAGAATGGTCCCGGCTTATACAAATCAATATCATCTAAGCGCAACCCAACCAACCACACAACTCCATCTTCTGACTGATCCCTGTGGGCAGTCCGCAACACCATCTCCTTATGCAATTCATTTTCCTTGCAGTTCTCCGATCAAAGCACAAAGCTCCCAAAGCCTCCCTCCCGGGCCCGTCCTGCGAATATGCACACTGTCGGCGGTCGCTCAGCACGGAAATATACATAAAAGTCTCTATTGGCCAGAGGAGGCACCAGAGAAAACCTCAGATCCTCGATGAAGTCTACAAGATTACAAATAAAGATCAATCAGAGGTACTGGACCACTGGCATCATTGCTGATCCGGAGATGATCTGGTTCGACAAGCGAACATCCACGGCAAAAATCAGGCGCACACTAGGACTCAAGGACGCTGAACGGAGCAGCTGTACCCTGTGCATCGTGGTGTTCAAAAAGCTTCTCCCCATTACTTTGCCCACCAAGAGGGAGTTCCTCGCCGTGTGGTGGCAAATGGTAAAGTGTAGGCGTTCTTTCCTTCTCGTGCTCTTCGTACATGCATCCCATATTCTGACAGGCCATCGCGCCCTCTGGAAAAGGGGTGTATATCACTGCAACGTCAGTCTCAGCAATATCATAGGATACCGCTTATATGGTCAATTCATAGGTGTTCTCAACGACTACGACTTATCGTCATTTTAACGAGACAGTCCTAGCGGCCTCGGGCGCCAGCGGTGAACCTTCCCTCGCCAGAAGCCGTGGCAGGCAAGGTCGAGAATGTGTATGCGTATGATGCTGAATCGTTCATCTGGGTCCTCAGCTGGGTCTGTCTTCAGTATGAAGGTGGCGTGCGCAGCAAGAACAGACCACTTGAGGAATTTCTGAAAGTGGATGCTCTTAGATGCGCGGAACAAAAGACCCACTTCTGGTCAGTAAGGCTCAGTACCATGCGTCCATCGGAATCGCACAAAGTGTAATGTGAAGTTGCAAAGAAGTGCATCTTGGGAGTTCACTCGTTTGAACGGGAAAAGAGCAAGTATATGCACATATAATTGTACCGAATGCGACGATGCCAACAGAAACATGTGGATTGCGGTCGGAAGAGAAGGTAAACATAAATGTGCCAACAAAGAGTGATCGTATTCACAACGGTATATGGACTTGCTCAAGGCATGGGAGAAGAGCAAACGCCTTTGGATCTACACTTGAAGTGAGCCAGTGTCGTGGAAAAGGCTGAGAACATACGTCTAGAACAACCACGCATCGCTGGCCTTGGTAGTCAAGAAGAAATTGAGCCAAAGTATCTGAGGAAGGTTCCTTCATGAAAATGCACAAGTCCAACGTAGCGGAACGAAGTTGCAGTACCGCGTTAGATATGAACATCGCCCGTCGTTCCAAGCATACATAAAATGTATATATACGCACACGTGGTGGTAGCTTCCTTCCTGCATAAGTACGTGACCCGAACCGCAGTATCCCGTGAGCTATTGCATATACGTGAAACGCATAATTAGTCACGCAAATTGCGAGGAGTTTTCACGATCCTTAAAATCACGTGTGAGCCTACCGCGGACGTTTCCGCAAATACAAACTGCATGAATAGACGTACTTAATGACCCTCGCTACGGCGTACTCGACCAAATTCATGATGCCATGCCCATCGTCGAGAGCGAGGAATTGGATTTTTGAGCTACATCAGTAGATAGTTCGAAGACAAACGAGGTGGTGACTCATGTCTGCGGTAGTGCCCGTGGCCCCACACTCACCTGACTCACCTATCAGATGCTTATTAAAGTGGCTTGTGGTGGACGCAACCGCTAGCCATATATAGTGACAGTCACGTCTGAATGCGATAGAAGTCATAAGAGTGAAGGACCTTAGGTGGAGATGTTCAGTCGAGTCACTTTAGTATAGGACAAAATAACTTCAATTGGCGTACTTGTTGTTCAAGAATTATAAATATGACTATAACATGTGGGAAGGAAGCGTCCTGCCTCGGGACGTGCCACTAGTGGAGATTGAAAGACTGCTATTGTGCATTTGAGCTGGCAAGGGCTTGAACGTTCGTATTAATTTGGTGTCTCGACGGTTGAAGCTAAGGACTGAGTCTGTTCGATAGCTTTGTTGTTGATGCATGGTATTCAGGAGAGTTCGTCGATTCATCAGCGGCAACACGAAGGCGCTTATCATCACAGCTTTATATGTATTGAGAGTTCTGATGGGGCTGATGCTGTGAAGCAGTATAAAGACGCTCGGTGGACGCACCTTCAGGACTTAGAACGAGACCGATACTATCTCTCTAGCAAGTGGACCGTACCCAATACCATCAGCCTCCAGCAAAATGAATAGGCTCAGCCCTAGCACTACACCCATTCGAGCGTTTGAAGATCACTATCAAGCGGTGCTCGCAGTCGCAGTGCTCCCTGATAGACAGCGTATGGTCACTGCCTCGTCGGACTCCTGGCTTCGTATGTGGGACTTGAGGGCAGGTACATTGTTGAAGATGATGGCGGGGCATACTAAGAGTGAGGTGTGGGCATTAGCGGTGTCGCGAGACGGGCAATTGATAGCAAGTGGTGATGAGAAGGGAGAAGTCATCGCCTGGCACGGAGCAACTGGAGAATTTCTCATCAAAGCTATCAAAAGCCAGTTCGGGATGATATCCATGGACTTTTCTCCCAGTGGTGCAGTGCTAGCCACCGCTTCAATGGACCAAAAGGCGAAGTTGTGGGATACGAAAACCTGGCAGTTACAAGGAAGACCGATCACGTGTGATGATCGTGTCTTCTGCGTTCGCTACTCGCCTTCTGGCGAACATCTTGCTATTGCAACAGCCAGCAACATCGAAATACATAATCCGGGCACGAGGCACCGTATCGCAAAGTTTAATGGTCACAGCTCATATAACTGTTCGCTCACCTGGACACCTGATGGCACAGGCCTTCTTTCATCAGGCAACAATGAGGATCCTACCATACGAGAGTGGGATGCATCCACCTGGGAGCAGGTCGGTGATGCCTGGATGGGACACACTAACGATGTTAATGTCATTGCGATTCATCCGAGTCCTGCTGGAACGCTCGTCGCTTCTGCATCTGATGACAAGCAAGTCCGTCTCTGGCGCCTTTCAGATCAACGAACTATCTCCATCTTCCAGCACTCTGACCGGGTGTGCTGTGTCACATTCTCCACGGATGGCAAGCATATACTCAGCGGAGGTGACGATGAGAAGATATCAGAGTGGGCAGTACCCAAGAATGCTTTGCCCAAGGATGCTGAGTTAAAGGTATTTTCCCATTATCATCCTGTCCGTTCTGATTGTTCATCTCGTCTCGTCTCTTTTTCTATTTTCAAGGCTGAAAGCTCCGATTCAAAGGCATATTTCCACCATTGACTCTAATAACTAAATTCGAGCATACCTTAGATTCTCACCATCACCACCAGTGCCCGCAACGCCCTTCTTTTGGGAGAATTGTCTACGGCTGAAAAGATAGTCACGCAAGGGATCACGGCCCACGCCAACAACTACACTTCCTATGCCACTCGCTCATTTGTTATGGCACGCAAACGCAACTGGGACCATGCACTTCAAGATGCAAATGAAGTAAGTCATCCGGCGTGCACTTCACATAGGCTAACATTGATCCTGGCATAGTCAATACGCATTAATCCATCGTTAACAGGCTATATTGCGAAGGGCATCGCTCTCTATGGGAAAAGGCAGTTCCAGGACGCCACGAAAGTTTTTGACCTTGCGTTCAGATCGGCTGATGGTGTTGCAAGGACAACACATTTACTTTTCTTGATCAAGGCATGTTTCTCTTTTATTGCACACTCCGCGCTTCATTATGAGTCACAGGCTATCGCACTGTTTAATGCAAATAAACATGATGAGGCAATGCTGCGCGTCCAAGAGCTAGTCACTGATTTTCCCGATACCGATCTTCTTGCTTGCCGTGTCGTTGAAGTGAGTATTAAGTACAGTTTTGTGTGATGACTTTGATGATACCGCTTTTCGCATCAGACGTATCTACGTGTCCAATTAGGCACCATTGCCTTGAGTAGCTGGTCTCGTAAGCTTGAAGCTGTCAACCATTTCACTTCCGCTGTCAAGGCTAGCGTTTTCTTTTCCAAATCGCCAATTCATCGTATGTATGGGGATTTTACTGTGGTACGTTGGTGTTACACAGTCAACGATGTTTCTTCATGCTCAATTGCGTGTTTTTTCTGGCAGCTCTTCGGGTGGGATCTTGAGTCATTGTGGCTCACCGCCCACAAGCAACTATGCCGCGCTCTCATGCGGGCGGGTAAAATTGGAGAGGCATTCACAACGTTCCAATCCACGATGGAGGCATGTGATGAAGCTACAAGATCCAGCTTACGTGCGTGGTTCGCCGGTAAGTCGTCGGTGATGTTACATGCTGCGATCCTTAACTACTTTTTTTTTCCAGCTTTCTAGAGAGACTGGAGTATGCTACGTCTTGCCCGTGGAGATACAGCCCTCTCCGCGAGCAGTCACTCTTGCGTTTTGAAATGCAAAGATATCTCGTACGGTTACTCGACATTACATTTATGAAATCAGACCAAATGTTCTATGTACAACACTCACACGCCCCTAGTCCTTCCCTCCTACCACATACTATGAATTGCATTTATGCCATATGGTAATCCTTTCGTTCGACACGTAATACTCTTCTTTCATTTCTTCGCGGTATGATTGGAAAATCCACTCAGGTCGGAAATATGCGCTATCGCAAATTACAGTCGGAATTAAGCGACTGAGATTCTGTGTTATGTCGTCAATACTTGGTTTGTATTTTCAAGCTGTAGTCTTGACCAAGAGGGTCTAAAAATGAATGGTTGCGTGATTACAGTGTTGTATTAAAACTATACTGTCCTAAATAAGTTACTAACAGGGACAATATATATAAAATCTGGGTGAACACGCGAACATGCAGACCCGCACACATCTATTAGGCGCTCATGCGGAATCTCAGCGATGTTCTACCCAGGGGGCCCAATTGAGAATGTGGTCCGTATGGTCGGCGCTCTTTCTCGACGACTGGATCCAGGCGCAGGTGGCGGGCTCAGGATGGGCGAAGACCCATACTGATCCGAATTTGTCGCACCGGCATCAGTGCGCCGCTCGAGATAGGAAGTATCATCAGAAGAGCGGTCCCCCGCTGGTGTTGTCCATACGCGTACCGTACCGTCGTGGCTGCCTGTGGCGAACATGAAGGGTTCGTCGGTGGAATGATTCCATGCAACACATGTCAAGTCCCCGCCGAATGTTTGGGGTCTAATGTAATGAAGTAAAGCCGCAGTATCGCGATCCCAAATGTGGATATCGCCCGCTGTGTCCGAGTATTCATGAGTACAGTTTTTAGATGAAGCCGACAGGTTAGGAGAAACGTACCTTTTCCTGCGCATAACACTAGCTGGTCCTCCTTGCCGCCAAAGTAGCTAGAGCCCGCGATATCCACCTGAGCTTTGGGCAGATACGTATGACGGAGAAGCAGCCTAGCGACTTGTGCAAACGAATGTTGTTCACGACCTCTGGCATCCCGTACCAGCTCCATCTTCCACAACTGTGGAGGTGTCTACGAATACGATATAAGTGATCAGAAGATATAAAGATATCATGACTCTCGGTACCTTGCGCTCAAAAGAAATCAGCACGTTTCCACCCCTTTTGGATATCGTGATATCACGCACGTCGTTCACGACGGGTGTCTGACTTTTGAACTCCTTCAGTTAATATATTCGAAAAGATGAAGGTAGCTCACCTTTCGAATTGTTTGGTCTCAATATTGAAAACTAGGGTATACGAAGTCAACCAGATGGCCTATGGACATGCACAACGCTCACCTATTATGCGTTTTTCAACCCTAGTGGTGCGGCTTGGATGCAATCCATTAGGTGCGGCAAGGAGTGGACCCACACCCAGTAGCCGTTGACCATCTGGAGTCACAGCTACATTGTGCAACTGGATGCGACCAAAGTGATACGAATCAAGAACCTTGAAATATATTCAGTCGGAATTCGGCTGACACCGAGTAATTTGATCACACCTTTCCTTGGATGTCCTGAAGAAAGAGTTCACGATTTATCAGTGCATACACAAATAATGACAGTTGTGCTAACCAGTCTAAAAACATCACTACCTTCGACGGAGAAGAAATGCGCTGTTGTAAAGCATCAGTAACGTACAACCAGACAGGACCATAAAACGAATTACTGTCGCTGTTAGGCAGCCATGCAATAGATGACACAGAGTGCGGCCGGTCGATTGTTCTCTTACTGAGTCCATCCTCCGTCCAGACCTTGATTCCGCGAGTTAATCTTGTTAAGAGAATGGTACCGGTCGCAGACCTGTCCGATCACATTTGAACATTTGCATTTAAAGATAGTGAAACACTCGCTGCATACCATGCAACTTGGCCGATAAAACCTCGCACATGTACCAGAACAGCCTGAGTTGAAAAAGATTCCTGGGCAAAATTAATGTAAACAATGTTTGTAAAGCGCAACACCTCATATGCTTACCCCGACACGAAAAATGATAGAAGACCGATCCCAACTTGACGCAGCATATCAGCCGGAGAAGCCACAAAGAAATCATAACGCACCTTGACGTAGCGAGATATTTTCCGTTTGGGGAGAACTGTAGATGCCGAACAAGGGCTGTA